GAAGTGCAGATTTCTAGAACTGAAATTTAAAATACTAAATGCTTCTTTAAGTCTAACAGCAAACATCAAAAAATGGTTTAAAAGCTGAAATAGAATTGATGATAACAAATTAAAAACTATGATGAAGAAAAACAATTTTAAAATAGATATTCAGTAAAAATGGTTCTTTGCTATTTTAATGGATGAGCACATAATAATTTTTAATGATAATAATGTAACAAGATTCGATTTGTTAGATGATTAAGAATTGTCAACACATAAAAACATGTATAACTTACAAGTTAATGATACTACAGTATAAATGTAATACTCAGTCCTTATTTATAAATACCTTGATTACAGAAATATCATATTCACTTATAATTTGTGGTCAGAAGTAAGCTAACAATATTGATTACAGTTAAATTAATTTAAAATAGTTTGTACAGATGAACGAACCTAATCCAGTACAATAAGCTGATTACAAATACTTAATCAGGGCACAAAAAAATATAATTAACAAGTTGTTTTATGCAAAAGTAGGTATGATTAGTAACAATCAAAATTTATGAGTAATATCAAAAATATTTTTGCTTTAATTCAATTTTTGAGTCTAACAATAAATATAAATGCATGTTTGCAGTGACTGTGCAGACCTTTTTCATTATTGAAATTAGTAACTTAACTAATGAGTAATAAGCAGAATAATGATTAATAGTTTCAGAATAATAAACATATCTTGAGTTCACAAATAGGTTCATAAACACTTTGCTGTCACACAACGTAATTTCTGAATAGATCTTTGCACTTAATTAGACAAAACTCTTACTGAACAGTTCTCATGACCTCTTTAGGAGATGAATATTTTGTTATATAATCATCTATTATGTGCAAGCATTTCTCAGATAAAAATTACTTTTTCTTGTTTTTGAATTAGTGGGTCTACAAAAAACGAACAAACAAAAAACAAATAATATTAACAATTCTTTATTACAATTAGCCTAGATTTCCACAATTGTATGGAAGTGTAAGCTTCTACAAATCCATACATTTTCTGTAGTATGTTTGAATGCTTAGTATTTCTTGTTTGTTGTTAAGCAGAAAGCTATACAATGAGCTGTCTGTGCTGTTCCCATCATTGTTATCTAAACCTGGTTTTTAGAACAAGTCTTCAGACATACCACAGAGCCACTTTTAGTTACCATACAGTGAAGTAAATGATTTTTGAAGTTGTAGATGCTTACTAACAAGTATTGTTATGTAATCAATTATGTAATGAAATATTAAATGCAAACTTTCATTCATGCCTTATTAAATGTCTTGTATAAAAATAACTGTTTTCTAAAATATCAAAATGGGGATTTTTCATTATCAAATACTGTTTGCTTGTTTCTCTTTAGCATGTTCACACAAACCACAAGGGCTATCTGCACATAACCATTCCTCATCTTCAATTGACAGACTAAGATTAGTGAAAATATGGCTAGCCAACAGCACTGATATCCAACACTTAGGCTAAATAGTGAAATTTGACTATCACTCTTAACTTGCCAACAGTCACAAACTGTGGAGCATATTTGTGTGGCAACAGTGTAGTAATTTCTTTTTGCTTATACTGTCACCAAAATGGGCAATTGATTAAATTTGTTACCTGTGTAAATGATGGGTAGACAAGAAAATGGGAGAAAGCCCATTTGAATGAAGATACTCCTTGTTGATGTACTCATTTCTCATGTTTCTAGATATAAAAATAAGTGCATCCTGGTTCTCATGACTGATTGCCCATCTAGTAAACTAAGCACTAGTACAAGTGTGTGGCTGAGATGCTATTATGTAGTATAGGGCCAGTAAAGAAAGGTTAAAACAAAGAATTATCAGCCTCATGGTGATGTAATGTCACACAAACTAACAATCAATAAAGTACTAGTCCATTATTGTTTCATTCAAAACAAAAGCTATAACAACCAAAAGACATTTTACCATGAAACTTTTGCAGAGAAATACTGGAAAATTCCCTTGATTTTTGAGAAGCACAAAATCATTTTGTAACACAGAGTAAATTTGATATTGACTATTTTATGCCCTGTTAATATTACATAGCAATCTGCTACTCCTTGTATGTTAACTTAATAAGCTGATAGCAGAAGTACAATACACAGTTCTTAAACATCATCTAAACCCTTTAATAACTGAGGTATAATCTATATTCCTTTAGTGTTTAAACACCTTGCTAACAATGTAAAATATAGTCCTTATATACAAATTTAACACCTTAAGACAAAATTTTAACAGTCAAATTTCTTAGGTTAGGTTAACATACTTCATAACTGAAATATAATTTTCTACACTGTAAAAAAAATAAAGAACTCCTGCAAATAGTGAAATAAAATGCTTGGAAGCAGATTTTTAAATTCAAGTCACATATTATAGTCACTGTAATTTACTGTACCAGTCATTCTAGCTAACACATTTTAACACCTTACAAACACACACACTGATTAACAAGTATAATAATAACTATTCCAGAATAACAACCACAGATCTTTAACCCAATCATAGAATGTAAATAAAGATCAACTTTCCAAAATGTTACATCATTTCAACATCATAATCAATCTTTACATGGCTTGCCATTTATCCAAAAGTTCTTAATCAATAAAAGCTTCTCTATGTAATCAGAAATTCAATGAATTTCTAGTTTACCTGGTCCTTTGCCAACAAAGGTGCAAATTCTTCTCTTTCAATCATTAATTTAATTTCTTCAGTCAAAAAATCATCAATTCTAAAGTTCAGATCACCCATCCAGAACACATAACTGAAGCAGTAGGAAAAAAAAAAAGAAAAACTGTCAATTTTAAAATATGTATCCAGGTCATGTTACAAGATATTGCATCTTAATAATATTATTCTATAATGATAAACACATATAACTAGTTTTAATTTTGAATTAAAGGGATATAAACTTAAAATCTAGGATATTTCCATGTCTCAAAGAAAATTCTGCACGATGAAGTAATGTTCATGGTTATCACATTGAACTTTGGAATGGTGTATCTATAAAACATACTTCTAAAACAGGTTTTAAAAAATATACTTAGCTATTATATATATAATACTTAGCCAACTTGATCAATATATTGCTACATGAAGGTACTCATGATCAGTTCCATTGTTTGTTCCTTGTTAAAAAATGTCTCAAAAATAACTTGTCATTTCTTTATCCATAATCAAATTATTAAACTGTTTGTTGCTACACATGTAACGTTGAAACACAATACAACTATTAAGCTATATTTTATCAGGCAAAATTATGATATAAATTTAATGCATACAGAAATGTGCAAAATAACCTAACTGACCACCTACAAATGTTGGTATATTTTAAACTACTTATCTTAAACTGTTTACCCTATCTATATTTACTATACTTACTAAATGTTTCAAATATATAACATTACATAAAAGGTGGCCAAGATACTTTTTTCTGTATTGTTAAATTTATATCAGCAATCTCAAAGCAATGAACTTTTTACATAACACATGTTAGAAATGGAACTTTTATTGTATGCCGAAGTTTGCAAGATAGTGGTCAAACATGTTAAGCATCCAAATAGTTATCAATTTGAAAATTTATCAACATTCTGTAAAAAGGAATATCAAAATGGCCAGGCTAGTCTAGAAAATATTAGAATAAGCTCTGTTTCAGAGTCTCCTCTAGTCATATAGAGGCTATACTATAGGTTTGATGTTTTATATTATGATTATTAACAGATAATAATAATAATAATAATAAAATAAAAAATTAGCAAAGCACTCTAGAATTTATGGTACATGTTTTCTACAGTACCATGTTTACTTATATACTTAATCTGTGAACAATATACAATACTCTTCAGATATGTCTAAAGAAAGAGAGTTTGAAAAGTGTACTCTGAAGTGATTTTGAAGAGCTTCAGTGGCTGATTTCATTGTTTCTTTGCTAATACTCCTAACACTATCATGCAATTATAACTGTTTTATTTATAAGCAGTTTGAGACACAGTTTTTGAGCCACCTCATAAAAAACATAAAGGAATAAATTACGGAACATTCTTATTGCATGTAGATGATTTTATATCAAAAGTCCATATGTAATTCTAAAGAAATAATTTCTTTGTAAAACATGCAAAAACTTTTGTCACTTACATATGCACAAATCATTTATTGTTGATATAATAGGGAAATCAGTAATAATTACATAGATACATGAAAGTCACAGATAAAAATAATATCAACAGAAATCTAAGAGTTATGATATACCAACTCTTAAGTCAGAAAAATATTAGAGCTAATGACAAATAACTTACTCATGTGTTAAGATGTTGTTACTTTGAGGGTCATCAAAACTTTGGCTGTCAACAATAGTGTTATATTCCTAAGAAGAAAGTTAGGTATCAGTACCACCAATATTTGGCAAATTACATATACACTACTACAAGGAGTATCTATAGAGCAACATAAATATTTAATGAAAGTGTTTTCAATTAGAAAAAAAAAAAATCAAAGGACACCAAAAACATTAATGGAGTTGGTTTGTTACAAGTGTCTATATACAGCTTTATCTACAGTATGAAAATAATGTATGGTTCTGCATAATAAATCCAGTTAAAATGAGTAAAAACTGCAACATTTCATGGACCTAAAACCCTCATCCTCCCTGGTGATGCTAAGCTAGCTCCAAGCTGTGTCTGATGATGTTAACTCCAGCTTGTTCCTGATGAAGCTGGGTTAACCTAACCTGTGCCTGATGATGTTGGGCTAACTCCAACCTTTGTCTTGTGATGCTGAGAAAGTTCATCTTGTGTCTGTTAATGCTGAGTCAAATCCATCCTGTTTCTGCTTATGCTGAGTCAAGTTTATCCTGTGTCTGATGGTGCTGAATTAACATGAACCCTGACTGGTAATGTCAATCAACTCTAGCCCTAACCAGTGATATTGTGTTTTGTACTCTATTAGCTCCATCATTTTTTGCCACAGTTAACTATTCTAGATTTAGATATTGGGGTATCTCTCTTTGAATTAAATAAATAAGTGCATTTGATGATGAAATTTTCCAACACAAAAAAATAAGCATATGTGTATAGAAATATGAGATGTAAAGAATTTAACTGAACTTACATATATTCTTTGTTGAAGTTCTTTATCATGAGGTGCAAAATGGCAGTTGACAACACATAGAGAGCAGCCATACACATTAAATCGTATACTAACACCACCTTTGTTACCCTGTTAGAAAAAAAAGGGCAAATCCTTCTTATTTTCAGAACCTATAAACTTACTCATTGCTAAAATGTTTTTTTTTAATGAGTAAATGACTTTTTTTTGCTTAAATACAGAAATGTGAAGAGTTAAGGTAATGAAAACCAATAAACAAACAATAACAACAATCATAACTAAGAAAGCACCAACAAGGATATGGGTGGGAGTGTGTGTATATATTTATGTTGAAGGATTACTGTGTACAAATCTTCTGCCTGATAACATATCTTTAAAGACTATTCATAGAATAAGTGTGTGAACAAGATCACCAGATGTACTTTAATAAGAAAAGAAAAAAATATTTTGAATTAACTACTTATAGATCTTACAAGTTCTTACTTCTATAAACAACTAGGATTCTTACCCAAACACCTCCAAATCCTGTTCGAGTATAAGCAGTCTGAGTTCTCCTTATGTGAACCAAATGAGTTCGTTTGCAGAAAAATAACAAAATAATTCCTTGAAGACGGATTTGTTTCACCTGTAATTAACACAAGAAATACCTTTAGACCACATCTAGAGTACATAACAACCAACTAAATAAATATCTCTTAAATCTCAAAAAAGTGAAAAAAAAACTGTTTCAGGTTGCTATCTCTTCTCTTTATATTTGTTAGGCCTCTAAATTTGAGTAGTTAAATCAGCCACTAATATATCCTCCATACTTTACTTTAGCTCTCTTGTCATAATGTTTCAGTATTTTTTGTATTTCACTTAATAAATTTATGTGAATGAAGTAAGTTTTTTATTTAATAAATACTTTAGACTTATCATTAAATCAATTAAATAATACAGGTTTTTGAACAGGTTTGCTAACTTCAATATTTTCAGCTGTTTACCATACCTAAGTTAAAATTTGAATAAACAAAGTTATTATTAGAGGTGGTACATTTACAACAGCTGTATTCAAAATCTGCATCTTAGTAGTTAGTAAAATTTAAAATAAAATACTTAGAGGCTAGATTATAGGATATATTTAAGAACTGTGGATAATTATGCTGAAAATTACAGTCAAACCCTAGGGTAAGATAATTTCAACTGTAAAAAAAAACAACACACATTTGGATGTTCATTATAGTGTAAAATATCTTTAGCTGGCAAAGCATTTGTTGTAATGTGTGTGTGTATTGCAATAACACTGATAACAATTTAAATCATATCATTCTTTCTTTGTCCAATACATGTTTCCAGTACAAAAAGTGTACAATAACCATGACAAATGAGGCTTTTTCCTCATTACCAAGTTTACCTGGCTGGCTAGTTTTCAACATACAAAGTCCTAAGTGAAATACTATTTATATTGTTGAATAATGATGTGATTTAAATTATTATTGGTCTTATCATAACATAATACTACATGTGCATATGACTTCAAATAGATGTAATATGTGTGATTTAAAAAAAAAATCTTTATATTGTGTAGACTAGAATCTTAAAATAACTACCAAAATTAGCTTATGCATACTTAATATTTTCCTCAAATTAGTTTTTTTAGCCATTCTCACAAAGAAACTAAAGTATTGGACATAGAAATATTCTGATAGGTTACTTTGCTTTATCCTAATTTAGGAATTTATTTTCAACAAGCTATAAACCCATGTTTAACTTTTAAGCACAAAGTTTTACTAGTATTGATAAAAAGCAAAACTTAAAAGAGTATTTTAAAATGTATGTGAATGGTTTACAGTTCTAAAACCCTGGAAGGATAAAAAAAAAAGCTCTCTCCAAGAAACAAGTTCTTCATGATGATTCAGTAGAATAGTATATATATATATTTCTTAATGTACCTCTGGTAACTTTAAAGAGACAAACCTTAGGTAATAATAATATATACAAATGACATTAAGATACTTACAAGTAAGAAAAAATAAACATTACCTTGACGTAGTCCCATGGACGAAGAATTTGTTTTATAGAATTGACCCAAGGATCATCAAATAACAAATCAACTACACGGTCATAAGGCTTGGAACTCACTTCTTGAAGGCTGCAGTGAATAAGTTACCACTTTTATACAACATTCTTTGACCTTATAGGCTATAAATTAAAATCTGAGAAAATGAAATTGCATCAACAGGAACAGGCCCAAGTACATTCTATTACAAACTTATAATACAATAAAAGGAAACAAGCAAATGTCAGTTTACATGAATGAATAAATAGTTTATAAATTAATGAGTAACTTAAGCACTTTTAGTACAATTGCTCTAATACTTGTAACAACACTTCTTGATGATACAGCCTTGCAAAAGTATGTTTATTTTATTTTATTGGTTATTGGGTGTTTTTGTGAAATTATAAGACAATTTGCGATGTTTAATTCATTCATTTACAATTACTTTAAATTTTTTCATTTTCTAGAAGTTCAGGGTGGACAACACTATAATGATTTGTTAAATTGTATAGTCATTGAATGAAAATATTTCAGGGACTACAGTGAACCCTTGTTAGTATGGAGATTGACAATCCAGATTATTCACAAGCTGGACGATTTTTCTTATAGACAGATCTTCACAATAGGAAATTTAATCAATAATCTGTATATTTGTGTTATGAATCTCAATAGTTATTTCTTAAAATAGATATGCATTTCTTATGGAATATATAACTGAGTAATTTGTAAATGACTCCATAAGAGTCAAATTGGGGTTGATCAAAACAGGAAGAGAGGTGTTAATTACTGAACACAAAACATCTGCACTAATTTGTGGGTGCCAGTTTACAACAGTTTTTCTGAGAATGACCTTCAAGATAGAGATGTACATATAAACTATAATACATATTGAGAGGTCATTAGAATGATTTATGTTACAGTCACGCAAAGTCAAAGTGCTCCAAAACAAACACAAGTACAAATATCAGCATCATTAAAATGTGATGTTTACTTATACAAGAAAGCAAATTAAGTGTAAGCCTTGATACAATCAACAAGCATTTCAGTGTAGAAAGAAATGTTCTAATGAGTAAGTCAACATAACTGCCATCCTTCATAGCAAAGAGAAGTGGGTAAATAAGCAACACTGTACCACTTGCTACCAAACACCACACCAATAATATAGCCTATGAATGCTGGTATAATTAGGTCATTCAAACTTACTACCACCATCAAATGATTAGAAAGTACATAGGATATGCTGAAAATAATGCTCCACAAATGTAAATATCCCTAAAACTTTACATATGATACATTTTGAGTGGTCAGTGCTACCATAGAAACAATACAAAACTGCTTTTAGCATGTCAAAATTTTTCTGCTGCCTGAATATAGCAAAACTGTTGAGCCTGTTGAGATTTTAGAAGTCATTAATGAGATTGCTTCTGGAATTCATACCTTAATATTGAGTAGTAATTATGTTTTATAATCTAATCAATGGCTCAACATCAACTCACCAGAAGCAACTGGTCAAGAATTGTCAGGAAAAGACATTATGTCTCTTCAAGAGTGTGGTGACAGTAAATTTGATATCACAAATGTTTATAAATCAAGCCATTCAGGCTGAATAAAGCACAATCTAGCTTTAAAGATGTCATCACATGGTGTGAACAAAACGATTTATGTGAAGATGGTGACATTGTTTGCTTAAAGCTGCTGAGAAGCTTTTAAAAAACAAATCCACTCAAAAGCAAGTTGCAATGTTTGAAAAGAGATTTGTTGTATATTTTTAGTCTGTAAGCCATTGATTTGAACAAAATGATGTTTCATATGAAGGTACATAAAGCCACTTTGATTATGCAATTTGTATAATTACTGAATGACATAAAGAATAACAATCTGATAAATTTATTGTATACATTGTTGTTTTTTGTTTACTAGTTGCATTATCACCATTACTAGTTTGCACCACTCTATTCAAACTGAATGATTCAACTATTCAGATGTTTTGATAATCTGGATGAATTAGTTTATTACATATGCATATTAATGAGGTTTTACTGTATAACAAAAGTTATTCACAAATATAAGATCTACAAACCCAACAATATAAACATCTGGAAGTTTTAATGGGTCAATGGGATCTTCTAATCCTAGCATAAGATGAAGATCTTCAACTGGTTGTCGACCAACAACATTCCATGTTAACAGGTACACTCTACAGCAGATGGAAATGGAGACTTTAGAACAAAAAGTATCCTTAAAAAAGAATTACTATGGAAGAAAACTTGTAAGTGTAACATGCTGAATAATAATCAGCTACTAAATACATACATTTTTGAAACTGTACTACTAGGAATGAATAAATTTTTACATAGATGTTTTATAGGAAAACAGCAGCAAATGAGCTTAATCAATGTTACTTTGCACTCGTTACAGATGGTTTCACAATCTGTAGTTTGTCAGTACACTTATTTGACTCCAACTGCATGTGTAGTTTGACAAAATTTTTTTATGTTTACAGGTAACAAAGACAACAGTATTTGATAATGGAGTAATACATGAAAAGAGGTAATTTTATAAAGTGAAAAGGAATAAGGTTTCAAAGGATTACCTGATGATCATTACATATATATATAAAAATATACAATTTCAGTATAATAAGCTAATATATATTTGAAAAAGGCAATGTATTTAATAATACAATTTGCATCCCTTGTGGACAACTTTAAGAAAACTATAAAACAACACAACGAATTGGAAGAATATAATATAGATTTAAAAACCATAAAATAATTATAGTTAAGTGTTAGTTTCAACATATGAAGCTATTGTTAATATAACTGAAATTACATAAACTTTAAATTGACAGGTGAAGAAACATTATTTGAATTGAAAAAATATGTAAATTTATGTTTAACAGAATCAGAACAATTACCAGTGAAACAAAATAATAATTCAAATATCACAGACAATAATAACAGAAAGATAATGATACATGCAGAGCAAAGGTGCTATTCAGACATACACACACAGAGTATGGATGCTCTTAGAAACACAGTAAAGACACCATCAGAATCACACAGAAAAGAGATACCATTTAGATACTCAGAGGGCTCACATGCTGTTCAGATACACATAGTAAGGATGCCTTTTAGACTGGTACAAAACATAAGTAGGGTTCAGATACACTCAGAACATAGACAGAGTTGGTTGGTTAGTGGAATTTGCTAAGTAATTGTTAGGCTCATTAATAGATATATTAATGAAACCACTTATTCCCATGAGATAACTAAAAAAAACATAATGCTAAAAACCAGGTTTAAATAAGAGTGGTAGGCAGAGCACAGATAGCCTATTGAGTAGCTTTGCTCTTAACAACAAATATAATAGCAATATTTCAATTATTGGACAGTTGGAATAACTGAAAACAGTAACACTCAGAAATACTAACTTCAATTACTTGATTATTTTTGTGACATTAATTGATTTAAGTGTAATTTTGATTAATCAATTATTTTATATGATACTAATAAATAGTCACAGATAGTAATTATATTGATCAATCAAGTTAACAATCCAGCTCTAATTACCGTATAGATATTTGTATAATCACAAAGAGTTCTCTGACTTACCTGAAATTCTGAAGCATTCTCCAAGGCTCAGTGATGAACAATTAGATATCAATTTTAACTCAATGTCATAAAATTCATTTCTTCATGACTAAGAAAGCATCATCCTGCTGGGCACATATGCATATGGAAGCTATGAATTATCCTTATACATGTTCAGGAAATATCCTTGTAACTTTTTCTGTTTTGTTAGAGTAAATGAGGAAACTGAGAACACATTGAAACATTATATAAATAATTATATGCATCAAAAACTATACATATGCATGGCTGTACAAAAAACATCCACTAGAGGAAATAATATATATTAGTGTGTAACTGTATTTGATCAGACCGAAATGAAAAATGTTCAAAGGCTTTTTATCAGTTCTTACTAAAGGCCTGGAATAAAAAGCACAACCTCAGTAAATGAGTACACAGAAAATATGTTCATAATAACTCATAAACTGTAGTCTATTTCCTTGAATATTCTTACATCTTAACTAAATTACATTTAATGTTGTTTTTGCAATAAAATATTATTTTAGAAGTGAAGAATTTAAGTATATAACAGAAAAATGGATTTAGTCTTTCAAGGTTACTTCCTCATGTAAAACAAAAAATTCCTGTTTCTGTTAATCCTATTTAAACTTAGTTCTTCAAATACATACACCTACTCAACAAAATTTTGAAATAATTCAAACTACATAAACAAATTTTATGGTCATGAGACTTGCTGGTTTATCTGAGCCATTCCATCCAATAAACTTTATGAAGAAAAAAATCTTCAAAGCTGGCCCTTATGATTCAAGCTTATATTTTTGTCAACTAGTTTTACCATTCTCATCAGTGAGTACATAAAAAGATGGGTCAACACTAGCAATGCCCTTAACAGTTTCAATTATCTTAACCTGTCTTTGTATGGCAGGTATCCATGTAGTCTTCCACTGAATCTTTTCCAAAATACAATGTCCTTCCTACAGTAAGAAGCCCAAGACTGAATACAATACTCCAAATGTGGCCTAACCATTGACCTATACAATAAAACTATAAAAACTAACTGAACAAACAATTTATCATGCAAACCATTATGCAAGTTTAAGATTGTGGATAAAAAACAAGTCATTATGTTAAACAAAGGGTACAACTAACTTTCAAAGTTTAAATCCATAACTCCTAATATTCAAGTCTGTATTTCTAGCATCTTCATCCACCACTGAAACAGAAAGTCTATAGGAAATCTACACTCTTAATAATTAAACATTTGAATCAAGTACACCCTAATAGTTCTATGCTCCATAAGAACTGAAGACTTAGTGACAGAAGGTCAGTTGACCCATTCAGGTCACCAAACAAAGAAATCAGCCCAATCTCAATACATCTCTCTCATGTATAAATTTATTTAACAAAATTTATGGAGTCCAAAACAAAATTACACCAGGGGGCAGTGTGCTAAGATTTTAACTTAGTGCAGAAATGCAATATTCCCTGTGTTTGAGAGGCATTATCTTGCAGTCTTCATGAGCTTTCACCATGGATACAACAGTATCCTGATATTTAAATAATTTAATTTTTTCAAAAACCAAAAACTTGGTAAATATGTTGCTTTTAAAGTAGCACAGAATAAAATTTAACAAGAGCTTATCCACAGAACAATGTATGCCTCTTTGTATTCCACAGAAGAGAATGATGCCAAGTCATATTCAGATCAAGTAGTAGTACAAGTTTCACAGTTTTAATGGGTTTTCTGAAAAATTAACTTAGTGCAGAAATGGAGTACGTTTTTGTGTTTGATAGTTATTATTTTGTAATCTTCCAGAACCTTCAAAAAGTACACAACACTATCCTAGCATTGAATATTAATTTCTTAAGAGTGTTATTAATCTCCCAAAACTCATACATCATTAGATATTTAGGTAAAACGTACCACAAAACTGAATACTGGATAATCCTACAGGGTATTTTGCTGTCAGTTACCTCTGAACTAATTGCATGTATAGTTTCTAAAATATTGATAAAATGATTTTCTGGGTCTTTGTAATAAGGTCTGTCTATTTATATGTCCATACTGCTCTGTACCAAAGTATTATTGTTTTTCCATACTAAAAGTTCATTGTACTTCAAAGGTTTAACAACATCAATTCACTCTTTGTGTTTATATCCTTTCATAATAATGCAACTAAAACTATATAACATTTTCTAAATAAGGTCTCACCTATCACATTGTACATAAACAGATCTGAAAACTTCATTAATTTCTTTTTGTTACCATACTTAACCACTGGCAGAATGTTTTATTCATTTATTAATAGTCAGATCTATATCTTTTTTTTTCTCTCCTCAACTCTTATGCTCCTCTTACACAAAATATTATTCCAAATTTCCATATTCCAAGTGCATCACTCTATACTTCTCATTGTTAAAAAGATTTTCAAAGTTCTTACTCACTGACTAAGACTGTCCAAGTCCTTTTGAAACAAATATTTCCAACATCATCAGTCTCATCTAGATGCTAGTTCCATCAACCAATTTGGATAGCATAATGATACAGAAAGTATCCAAGCTACTGACTTGAGAAATTAAAAACAAATACTCCCCAAATATATACCTGAGAAGCACCACAAGTGACATTCTTCCAAACAAAAGAATTCTTATTATCACCACCTGCTGCTTTCTATCAATGTTACTATTTCAAACTTCTTCCCAATATATATCACCAAGAATCAAATTTTCTAATCAATATTTTTATGGAACCTTATAACTAACTAACTAACCTGAATATAAAAACATCAACCAAGTTTCCCTCATATGAAATAGGCAGATACTTTGATGAACAAGTTAGTAATGGAAGAAAATCCCTTTAATATTTTTATCACAAAAAAACTTGGATATTTCAAACCTTCAATATCACGCAATTACATCAACCAACAACAGTAAAAGAAATAACTCGTATATCACATTTTCAAGAAATTGAAATAAATGATAAAATTACATATTAACTTACTTTTCTATTATATACATAAATTAGAGGTGCCATTTGATTAATCATCAGGCTCATTAATCAATTACATTCAACAAATCAATTATTTTCATTAGACTTGGATAGTTAGAATAATTGAAAATAATAATAATAATCAGAAATGGTAATTTCAATTATTGATTATTTTCATGTGTGGTTACACTAATAAATTAAGCTAAAAACACTGAATTGAAAACAATAATGAGAAATCATAGTGACAGTATTTTCAGTACTTGGAATAATAATAAATGTTAATTTTGTTTAATTAATTATTTTGTGATATTAATCAATTCAACTGTAATTTTGATTAATTGGTTATTCTACCTGACTAAAATCGATGTAATCGATATGATAGGTAATCACCCAACTCCAATGTAAGCTGTGTTATCTTAATTAATTATAGTGCTTGAACTTGGTAACTAATTTTTTGGTACATGTTATGCATATAGTCTATTAAAATAAAACAGATGCTTTATTTACTGTACCATTGAATAAACCAAGTTTCACTTCTTTCCTGAGCTAAACCCCAAAGCAAAAAACTATAGTTCTTTCAGCCAACACTAAATTCCGAAAGAAATTGTATGATTAAATTTTTTATTAATAATATTATTGATAATAATCAAATGAAACTCCAACTTATTTTAGCTGTACTGAAGTTATGATGTGTAATTTAAATCTATGGCATTGCCTCAGTGGTAGAACTTTGGTTGCCAAAGTGGGAGAGAGCACTTAATGTATATGATTATGAGGTAGCATGAGGCTATTTTATAAAAAAAAAAGGGGGGGATTCTACTCTTGATATAGAGCAGGGGCCATTCCCCCTGAAAATTACGTCTATGATGCACTGCCTACTTCTAGTAATAACAGTACTACTTCTACTACAAAACGAAACTCGTTATCTAAATACTAAGTTATTAATATTGTAACACTAACAGTTAGGCCTATTAGTATTACTATTATAATGTTGTTGGTTTAGAATTTTTAACAAGTTAAAATAAACTTAATTTTACCCGATTGTAATTTTTTAAGTTAAACGTACACAACTTAAAAGGTAAATTATAAATTCATACAAATCACATGTGGAATATGAATATATACTGTAACAGTGTGTAATATTATCACTATATATACTAATAATAATAACAATATACTACTTACCAGACTAGTTTGAGATACCTGAATACTACTATTTATTACTATGTTAAAACTTGTAGGTTGTTACTATGAGGAAGTATTTTCGAAATTCCCATTCGCATACTGATATTAAAAAACTCAAAATTCATCGCATATTAAATATTAAGGAAAATGCATGCTTCAATGATTACAACATAATTTTGGAGAATTGCTCCAGTAAACATAACTACTTCAACAAGAATTACTCACTGGTTTAGTGGTTAACTTATACACTACTACTAGAGGTTTGTACATCTAGCTTTACAATACTAAGCGAGTAAATTTTAATGTTTGAAATATATTACTATTATGCCTGCATATCTTAAATGAAATATTTTCAACATTTACTTACACCACTAGTCCACCTCAACGGCCAATTAAAGGCAATATCTAGTCAGCTTTTCGTAGCCATACTTATTGCAGATGGTGAAAACAAACACCTGTGAATTGACAGAATAAATTAAAATAAAGGAAGAAACTACGAAAGTAACACTTACAATGACAATATATTAGCAGCTACCTAAAGCCTACTCTACATTATATTAAAATGCTGAAAAACGTATTAATTTAAGTTGAAGAGTGAGGAAGCAATAGAGGAAATTTAGGCTCCAAAAATACCAAAGTAAGGAGCACAGAATTTTAACCATCAAACAAAACCGAAAATTTAAAACAACTAAATCACAAAGCACTTGATGGAAGGAAAGGAAATCCATTGTATACTTTAAATGAAAGATCATAGATACACCTTTCTGAATGGATTATTTTGTTTTTTAACTTTATAACAACTTTTCGATAAAGTTAACAAATCGAAATAATCCACCCAGAAATTACACAGTAGTTTTATGAATGTTCGCATGTATGGTTTGTTTGAAGTTAAACACAAAACTACATAAAGGATTATCTGTGCTCTGGCCACCA